AAAATTTTAATAGTTTTAATTTTTTTATCTTTCGACAAAAGCTTACACTGAAGTGATACACCGTCTATATCTTTATAATGGTGAAACTGGCGGGTAATTTGTATAGTAACAGATTGTTGAAAACGTAGTTTGTATTTTTGTTCATGAGAATCATGTTCCTTTTGAGAGCAAAAACCAAAAGCAATTTTTTTAAATGAATTTTTGGCCCATTTAAATATTGACTCTGCAGTAGTAATGCGCTTATCATTGTCGCGACGTAGACTAGGTAGCTTGTCTTTTCACGCTTCCTCATAAGCCATCACATGCTCCTTTACTGTGTGATGTGACATCACAGCAGGTTCTCAGTATAAAATAAATATAATTTTGAGAACCTGCTCCGTCAAAAAAGTTGGACATTTTTTAAATATTATTAGCTCCGAATTTATTTTTCAATTAACTTTAAATTAAAAAATAAACTGAGCTTGTGTCATAAGTAATTTTTTCTGAAATTATCACGTAATTTAAAAAAAGATTAGAGCATTTATTCACTCGCCCCATAATATAATAAATATTAATAAACATTATAAAGTTAATTAATTAATAAAGTAGTTAAACGCAAATCTACAAAATTAGATTTCTTGTGTTTAGTATTAATTAACTTATTTAACAAATGGCTTGTAAAATTCATTTGTTATTTACGTTTAAATAAAACAAAAATGGAGATAATTAAAAAAAACAATAAAAAAAGTAACCCGCCATGGGACATTTATGTTTCATTTAATTATTTGTTAATTTTTACAGTCTTTATTTATATTTAAAAACAAATATAATATCTATTTGTTTTAAATATTACATTAAAAAAATTAAATTTGTTAAATAACATTGTTTTCTATTGTAAACGACAGTTTATTATTTATTAATATTGATTGGAGCGGATGCCGAGTCTACGGTGCGCGGTAGCGCGCTTTACCGAAATGGCACGCGCTCGGGGATAAATAAATTCATATTGTTTAAACTAATAGCGGGCAGTGAAATTTTATTGCAGAATATTTAACTAAAGTGTACAATGCATGTAACTTAAATAAAACAAATTTATAATTTGAGGGAGAAGAATTTTTATTTGTTTATTTAAAATTTAATTAAAAATATGATAATAAATAAATAATTTAAAATTTTTAATTTTTTTTAAAAATGTGAATATTAAACAATAAATCCTGAAAATTTTATTAAAATATCTCTAACGGTTTTTCTGTTATCTATTTTATAATTAAAAGTCTCCAAAATTTTCATTGTAAAAAAAATTGGTGTTAAAATGAAAATTTCAAAAAACTGTTTTAGGGTTTTATTATTGATGGTGACTACTTTATATTAAAATATATTTATTTGAATTCCACGATCAAGTGGGAAATGGAGGGTCCACTTGAGGTGATCTTACTCTATGTCAACAGGTTGTCAGTCACGGGCTAAAGTTATTTTAAGTTAATTGACAGTTGTCAAATGTAATACAATCTTTAAAATAATACTAAATGTAAACATTATTTTATTATTTCAATACAAAAATACAAAAGTAATAAATAGTTTTTTAACGCCAATATTTAGAAAGTTTATACGAACATTGTACTGACCTTTTAATTTCGCCGGCAGTAAACTATAACTTAAATTCGGGCACGGACTCAACTGTAAAGTCCTCATAAAACATTTCCCTTACTTTCACTGTGAAAAACTGTAAATTTTCAAGATTTCGATTTATAACCTTTATTTATAAAGTGGTTTAATTTAGTAAAAATATGACTTATAAGTATACTTATATGTAAAACTTTTTAGTGATAATATTCACGTTAAATTTACCGTTAAAAATCCCTTTAAATAAAATAACGTATAAGTAATTAAATAAACATCATTAAAATACTTCAGAGTTTTAAAACTTTAAAGTTAATAAAGAAAGTCAAAAAATCATAATTCACTAGAATGATTTGTTAACGTCACCCACTAGAATTAGTGTTTATCGTTATATTTAATCTGCTTGATTGGCCGGATTTAAGATAACCACTGATTAGCGTTAACGATTCATGTTAGTGAATTGGTCTGATTATACAATTTGGCCAATTCACCAACATGACTCGTTAATCAGGTTAATTTTGTTGTTTTTGTATCCAAGTAAAAGATACATTATGGGAACAGACCTGTAATATTTTACGGGCTTGTATAAAAGACCTGTAAAGTTTTACAGGCTTGTAGAAAAGCAATTTATGAAATGAAATGTCACATTTGACATATTAATTAAAATTTTAAATTTGAAAATCTTTATCTAAAGGTGAAAATAAAAGTTTGTACGTCACGCTTTGCAATTAATCGTTACTAGGCTCACTGTATTATGGGGTTCGCTCCTGCGTCGCTCACCCCACAAACTTTCAGCTCGCCCGTAAAGATTAATTTACAAAGCTTGACACGTAAATAACTATTACATGTCAAGTTTTTTTTTACCTTAATGACAGTTTTTAAGGTTAATTAAAATACATTTTTACTTCAATTAAGTACAAATCCAAAAAGCTTGAATATTTTACTTCGCTTGGAAATTGAGACATTATCCGCTCGAAAAAAATTAACACTAGTGTTAAAAGGAAACAAGACAAAATATTTTATGAATATTTTTGAAGATATGTTGAACCTATAACAATAATTGTATGATAGTTATTATTACTTAATTTTATTGCTAAGAACTATCATAAAATTATTATTATGGGAACATAAAACATTTTGTTATCTTTCTGTTTGTCCCGTTAGTAATCATGGAATCGCCCACTAGTTAAATAATGCCAATATTGTTTAACTGGTGAAACAATGAAAAAGAAGGAAAATAATACAATTAGAAACAGCTATTTCTTACATAGTTAAATATGATTTTATGATTTTTCATAATTTATTATATTAAATTAATTTTTCAATTAAAACACATCTGTCAATAATACCATTAAGGTTAGTTCACACTACGATTTGTTCATGTGTTCATTTTTATTTAATTTGTGGGACAAAATATTATGTGAAACTTGTGAAGAATAGTCGTTCTTTACTTGTCGCACAATATACTATTCCATTATAACCGTTTTTATGTGTAATATTTTAACAGCGCGCTGCAGCGTTGGCAATTAAAATATAAATAAATTACATTAAATTATTTTTTTATACCTACAAGAATTATTCCTATCGCATGTCCCATTTTCTGGACACACTATAGAAAAAATATAAAGCAAAAATAAATACACTTTGTTCTGGGCTGCGTACTAACGCCCACAGGGGGAATTTTTAAACATAAATGCTTAATAACGTGAAAACTACTTGTTACAAAATGATTTATAAAATATTTTATGTAGGGTCCTATTTTATATCTTATATTATAAAATAATCCCCTCGCGTAGCATTAGTTCGCCATTTTCTGGACACCCTGTAGGGAGTAGTGGTCAGTGCTGCTGACTACAAGCCGAAAGGTCGTGGGTTCGAGTTCCACATTGGTATGGTGTTTATTATATTGTGTATGTCCTTCAGAGGAATTAAACCCGAGTTCCGTACATACTCCTTACCCGCACAAGCTGTTCAGTTGGCTTTTGGGACTAAAAAAAATATGTTTAAAAATTATTGACCTGAACTATCCCATTATTAACATAATTAAATACGAATTTTAACATTTCCTGTTTATTCTTGAAAAAGAACAACTTTGGTGATATGTTCGCTTCTGAAGATGCCAACATCGTTGGCGAAAAGTACTTTAAGGACTTTGTGTTTTGTTGTGCACACCATGGTGTTGGGGAATAATTCTAATATTTGTTTATTTCCTGTTTACATTAAGAAACATAATATACGTACCTACCTATTCATCACAATATAAAAATTTAATAATTTAAAAAAACAATATCAAAAATTATTTAAAAATATTGGGGAAACTTGCTATAGAACTGAATCCAAATTTATATCCAAATATTTTTATCAACCCTATTATTATACCTACTATTTTATTTTTTATTTTTTTCATCAATCATTTTTTATTTAAAAAAAATTACCCAGGAACAACACCAAGTACAATTAAGATTCTTTAATTCAACGCGCTAAATCCACTTTGCATCCATGGTCTGCAGACATTGTGGCGGCTTTGGCCACACTGTCTGTAGATCGATTATGCAACAATAATAAGTTCTCTTGCAAGCGTAGAAAGACCATCAATACAAGATAATCGCGAAAATATTTGTACTATTTCAAGTCTCAGGGTTATTAGGTGAACGTAAACTTTCGGTGATCTAGTTCAGTCAATATTTTTTAATGGTTTTTTGCTGTCTTCAAGGATTTTTTTTAATTAAGGAATCTGCTCTGTAATATGCATATTAAATATTAATTGAAATTAGTGTCTGCTTATTGAGCTATAGTCATTGAGACATTTTTTTTTATTAGATCGAACTCGAGTTGACTAATGTTCAAATTAATTTTGACTCACCATCATTATCAAATTTGTCAACGAAAAATTTACAGACATACAGGGTTTTAAGTTGACGATTTTTTATCAGCATGAAGAATATAAAGGCTGTTTCTCTCTTATTTCAAAGTTTTGCTGAAATTTTTGTCTATATAATTTCTACACGATGTTTAAAAAAGCGCCAACTTAAAACTCAACCTGTATTTAGAATTGTAAATATTTGTTATTTATAGAAAATTTAGATTTACCTAATAAATTTTTATTTATACATAATTTTTATACAATTATTACCCACATCATGTGTATACAATAATAATAAATAAAAATAATATTTTTATATTGTATATAGATTAGGCTTCTGTATGCAGAAACATGTTCAGATTAATAAATCTTTTAAGAGTTGGCTGATAGACTGAATCTCCAGATTTGACTTTACTTCTTAAGGCATCCATTAGTTCTATTTTGAACTCTGAAATTTTTTTATTTTATTATTATGTAAGGTAATGTAAAAAGGAACTCAGGAGTTCTAAAAACTAGAAAGGTAAATTAATAAAAAAAATCTAATAACCTGCGTTTTATTCTTACAACAATAATTAATTCTAAACAGTATAATATAAATAAAGCCTGTACATAATATTCTTTATATTGATGATATATAAAATAAAATAACTGATTTGAAATAAAAATAAAATCGTTGAAGGAGACCTATAAAGATCTTATAAAAGTTGATAAATAACTTAACAAGCAAAAAATCACGTCTAAAACCTACATAATAAGCCCATTCAAAAAGATCTCCGCCTTTTAAAACGGGTGCTTTTTTGACTAATACTTTTTTCTATTTTTATAATTTTTATATTTAAAATAACTTTTGTTATTCAATTTAAAAAAATAATTTAAAGAGCGGCTTCGCCAGTGCTCTCTTCAATAGTCATATACATGCCTTCTTCCTGATAAGCGGACTCGTGTTTGGCCAAAATACGTAATAGAGGGCGTAGTTTTAACCACCATTCATCCTTTGGAATTCTTCGTCTGAAACCGTAAAAATGTAATAAAATATAAAAAATGTCAGCTTCTCACACTCACTCAAAGTTGGTTTGTTCCTTTAGAACAGTCAATGGAGTGAGGGTGTATTGTCTTTTTTGGATCCCCAAAAGACAAGCCGTTTGCGGAGTATTACATAAAACTTTACCGTTACCATCGACGTTATTTTTAACTTGACATACCATCCAATCGACAGCCTTGGCGGCCATTTTAGTGCCCAAATTACGATCAAATGGAGTCGGAGCCCCACCTTGCTGCATGTGACCTAAAACGTTGCTTCTGGCACTGAAAAGCCCTTTTCCTTCTTCCGCATACAATCTGTGGATAAAATCGGTGGAATAGTTTTCGTTGGCTTTTTCATTACGAAGAATCAAGCCTCTTTGCACACCCTCGGACATTTTGGTGGCCATGTGGTAAACATCCATTTGCAAATCCTTGATGGTGAATTTTTCCTCGTAGATGTACGCGGCATCGGCACCACCGGCCAGACCGGCCATGGTTGCCAGATATCCGCAGTAACCACCCATAGTCTCGATAATGAAAACTCTCCTCTTCGTACCTTGAGCCGACTGTCTGATGCGATCGCAAATCTCCGTGATTTCGTTGAGAGCAGTGTCGCAACCGAGGGAAAATTCGGTACCAGGAATATTGTTACTGATCGTGGACGGGATAATCATGATGGGTATTTTGATTGCGTCGTACTTTTCACGTGCCTCGGCCAACTCGATACCGGCTTGGTACGCTTCGAAGCCTCCGATAATGACCAAACCTTGGATTCCGAACTCCTTGAGTTTCGCGACCACTTGGTCGATCCTTTTGCCTGGGAGGGTTCTCTTGGTGCCCAGGTAGGCTCCTCCCACCGATACCCAGCCGGTCACATCACCCCATGCTACGAAATAGTTCAATAGTTTAGATATTAAACAAGAATGAACGTGTAATCGTACGACACGTTATAGAATTGAAATTCGGACAGTTTTATGCGAGGGGTAAACCACTGATTTTTTAAAATTAAAAAGCGCTTACGAATTAACGGATAAGCATAACAATAACAAGGGTAGTCATACGCAACGCGTCGTTAAGCACTGATTATGCAAGTTTTCCTTTATGATAGAGCCATTCCATGCCAAATCAACACACTTTAAAAAGAAATTTTTCCTCACCATTTCAGATTTTCCTAAAATTTGGTATACTTATACTATGTACTAAGACTAAGAAAAATACCAATTTTTAAATTTTTATCTCACAACGTTTCCGATATATGGCTATGTAAAGTTTTTAAAAACTCGCGAAAAAAGTGTGAACGTTTATTTTTTAAATTAAGCTGGAATCTGTCCTAATTTAGTTAGAAAGCTGGGAGAGGTGTCATTTTGCAGCATTTTAAATGCTCTTTCAAATGACATACGACTGCCAAGGGTATTAATGAAAAGATTTTGTTCAAAATCCATATATATTTTGATTAAATTTTTTTTTTAAAAGTACATAATTTAAAATTCTCAAAATATTTGTATAAATACTTGGTAGTGTTCTGAATCATATAATAAAATATTAATGTGGGGTCTTAATGGGTTCATTGTTAAAAAAAATATTTCTGATGCTGGTTTTTCACTTTTAACTAATTTTTACATTATTCAACGTTTATCAGGCTTAAGCCTGACAATTGTATTTTTTTTTATAATATCGGCTGTCATCATTCCCGACTTGTGTAATTTAATTACTGTGATACGCTTGTTTTGGCGATTCATATTGAACTAAATTTTAAACAAAACAACATAAAATGAATATTTTCAAAAATATAAGGGCCATTCCACGCGTAACGGATAGGACAGTTGCCGTGTTTTTATTTACAAAATAATATTATTCTATTATATTACCAATGTCAAATTTTTATAAATAGTTCTAAACTAAAGCTGTTTAACAAGGTTTTTATTTGGCAAAATTAGGTATCGTGGTTGACTGTTTAATTCCTTAAAAACTAATAATTTAAAGCGTAACGGACGGGACTTTGTAATAGTCCCGCCCGTTACGCTTTAAATTATTAATTTTTAAGGAATTAAACAGTCAATCACGATACCTAATTTTGCCAAATAAAAACGTTGTTAAACAGCTTTTGTTTAGAACTATTTATAAAAATTTGACATTGGTAATATAATAGAACAATATTATTTTGTAAATAAAAACACGGCAACTGTCCTATCCGTTAAGCGTGGAATGGCCCATAAGGGTTCTAAGAACCCTAATAATATCGGCTGCCTACATTCCCGACTTTTTTAATTCAATTACTGTGATACGCTTTTTTTTGGCGATTCATATTGAACTAAATTTTAAACAGAACAACATAAAATGAATATTTTCAGAAATGAAGGGGTTCTAGGAACCTGCTCGAGCAAACAATTTCCGCGAAAACCTTATTGATAAATTTTAAACTCGCTTAAAAAAAAATTCAGGGAACTTTTACCGGACCCTGTATATATTCGTAGTTTATTTAAAAATAAAACTATAAATGAGGTGTGTTTAAAGTGATTTTGGTGTCAACATGGAGCCTACTATTGTAAGAGTGCAGTGTTATAATCCAATGAAAAAAAAACAAATCATTTTTTTTTAACATGAACCCATTAAGACCCCACATTTATATTTTACTAAATGGTTTAAAACGTTACTAAGTATTTATACAAATATTTTGAGAATTTTAAATTATGTACTTTTTGAAAAAAAATTGAATCAAAATATATATATGGATTTTGAACAAAATCTTTTCATTAATACCCTTGGCGTATGTCATTTGAAAGAGCATTTAAAATGCTGCAAAATGACACCTCTCCCAGCTTTCTAGCTGAATTAGGACAGCTTCCAGAGCAATTTAAAAAATACACGTTCACACTTTTTTCGCGAGTTTTTAAAAACTTTACATAGCCATATATCGGAAACGGTGTGAGATAAAAATTTAAAAATTGGTATTTTTCTTAGTCTTAGTACATAGTATAAGTATACCAAATTTTAAGAAAATCTGAGGTGGTGTGGTAAAATGGGTGTGTTGAGTTGACATGGACTGACCCGATAACGACTGATAAGGAAAAAAATCACAACAGAACTTCCACTAACATTGAACGTTGGTCTCTAAGATTTTAAAGTGGTTTACCCCTCGGTTTTATATTAAATGAGCAGTTTTCAATTATTCAATTTAATTCGAATTTGGGCAGTTTTTAATTGTCCAAAACAAATTTAAATGTGCAGTTTTCCATTATAATTATCCTATTTTGTTCGAATTTGGACAGTTTTCAATTACCCGGTTTTAAACAAACTAAATGTCAGGGCAGTTTTAAATTATCCAATTTTGTTCAAATTTGAGCGGTTTTTAATTACCCAAAACAATAATTTTAATATGCCGTTTACGATTACCCGGTTTAAAAAAAAGGTTAAGGGCAGTTTTTAATTATCTAATTTTGACCTCTTTCGTTACATAACAAGTCACATGAAATGATTTTGCCCGTGCGTAGAAAATAAAGGACGGTCACTGAGCACAGCTTAGGTCTGTGGATCACAGTCATGCGCATTGAGTCCATGGTTGTCACATTCTTAATTCAAAGAAAATATAGTGTGGACTAATTAAATATGAGTTTATTTTTAATAGAATAACATTTTTTACTGTCACATTGTATGTTAATTTGAGAATATAAATATAAAAAACTTGTTTCTAAAATGGAGTATTTTTGAGAGAAAACAATTTAAAAAAGTATCGGGGCATTGAACCCGAGCTTTCTGCAATTAAAATTAAGTTAATCTTATTATTAAGGTTGTTAAATAGCTCAGGCACAATTGCTTGGTAATGAATTTTTTTTAATATAAAAACGCTCGGGCAAAAATGGCAATGACAATGAGCCTGTGACCGTCCTTCCCTAAAGTAAATATAATGATGAAAACTGACGAAACTTTCATTTATTTATTTTAAACAATTTGGCCACATATGCTTTAGAATCTAAAATAACACAGTTTTTATTGGAATCTTTTTTTTCGTAAACTTACTTAAATATTTAAAACATTTCAAATATAATTTTTTTAAATTCCCACTCATATTCAAAATTTTATTAAGGCCAGTAAAACTAAAACTAAAGGTAAAGGTAGTTTTCAATTATCCCATTTTTTAATTTAGGCAGTTTTCAATTACTCCGTTTTGAATAAATTAAATATCAAGGCAGTTTTCAATTACAATTAATTATCCAATTTTGGTCGAATTTGTCAGTTTTTAATTACCCAAAACATTTATTTTAATGTGCAGTTTTCGATTATTCTTTTTTAAACAAATTAAATGTTTAAATACCAAAAACCTAATTTTAAAGTGCAGTTCACGATTATCCGGTTTTAAAGAAGTTTAAGGTAAGGGCAGTTTTCAATTATCCAATTTTGACGAGCATTATAGCGTTTTGTTTGCAGTTTTCGATTATTCTATTTTAAACAAATTAAATGTTTAAATACCAAAAACCTAATTTTAAAGTGCAGTTCACGATTATCCGGTTTTAAAGAAGTTTAAGGGCAGTTTTCAATTATCCAATTTTGACGAGCATTACAGCGTTTTGTTTTCACAAGTCTCATAAAATGATTTTGCCCGTGCTTAGAAAATAAAGGACGGTAACTGATCATGGTACTAAGACAACTTAGTACCATGGTCACTGATCACAGCTTATGTTCTGTGGATCACAGTCATATGCATAGTGCATAAAAATTTAAGCAGTATCTCAGTCCTTTGTTCGTAATTCAAACAAAATATAGTTTGTGAAAGTAATAAAATATGAATTTATTTTTAATAGAACATTTTTAGTGTCACATTGTATTTTAAGTTGATAATACAAATATTTTTTAAACAAAACTTATTATTAAGAAATTGTGCCTAAACTACTTAAAATTCTTAATAATAAGTTTGCTTCATTTTCATTATAACCCGTATGTTAATAATGTTATAGATACCTGGCTCCCATACAGAAAGCTTGGGTTCGATTCCTGGAACTGAAATACTTTTTAAATTTTTCTCTAAAAAATATTCCACTTAATATAAAAACGCTCGGGCAATATGTGGCACCAATGGCAATTACCCCCCCCCCCCACAATGAGCCTGTGACCGCCCTTTCCTAAAGCAAATAATGATGATTTTATTCATTTTGAACAGTTTGGCCATATATGCTTTATAATCTGTAATCGAAAAAATAGCTAAAAGTTTTCTTTAAAATCTTTTTATTTCGTAAATTTTCTTAAGAATTTTTAAAATTTCAAATGTATTTTTTTAAATTACAACTCATTCAGAATTTTATTAAGGCGAGTAGAAAACTTAAACCATCAACAAAAAATTAACACTTCTTTTCTTAACAAATGATTTAAAATCACATCCTTAACAAAAATAAATTAGTTAACAAAATTGAAAAACTCTAAACCCTTTTTATAAAATAATAATTTCTTACCAAGAGGTCTCACGTTGCCAGCCAAGAGACCTTCAACGCCGTCATGGATTCCCATAACGGTGTCACCTCTGTAGATGCAGTTTCTTACAAAAGACCTCACTGCAGCGTTCATTCCACAAGCTGGAGCGCCGATATGCATGATACCAAAAGTGTATCCCTCCTGAATAAAAACCAATGATTTTAAATTTAAAATATACTATTTTGTTAAGCTAATGATACCCACAGGGTTGCTGCAAAGCAAAAAGCATTTTGGGGTTATTCTTAAAATTTAATCGAACTTTAATAATAATAATAATTATTATTATATTGTTTGTGGAGCAAACACGCAAAAGCCGATGAATCCATTTTAACTTATTCTGAGATATTGGCCAAAAATGGGTACAGTAGAGTCCCACAAATATTTAAAAACTATTAAAAGGGGATGCTGCTCCTGTTGGGCTCTATCTGTTTCGGTTTTTACTTAAAATAATTTACTAAAATTAGTAAGAATTGGTATTATTCTTAAATAAATGTTAAAATGTATTTATCGGTTTTTGGTACTATTCTTAAATAAATGTTAAAATGGATTTATCGGTTTTTGCATGCACATTTATTCAACAACTATTTAGATAACTAAAATATAAGAATAAATACAGTATTAAAATCAATAAATAAATATTTAAAAAAACATATGATAAAAAGTTTGTATAAAAATTCAACTAAAATATTAATAATTAAAATCAAACTAAACAAATAAAAGTGTAATTATCTTAATAAAACACCACTATATTTTGTTTAATAAGATTTCCTTAGGCCGTTTTTGGAATATTGTATCACTAATGCCATTTACACCTGTACATGGGGCACCAAGTATACTTCTATGTAGAGTAGGGTGTCCCTTATTTTTATTTTTTTTACGCATACCCTCTTATTATATTTATTACTTGTTTATATACTCCCAGTAAAAATTTCAGCTCATTCTATAAACGGGAACCCGTGCCGACTTGCATCTAAACCCTCCGTTAGCCAACGTCAGGCGCGCGCGGTATTTTGTAACACGAAACACTTTAAAAAGAAGATATACTTCATGACTGTATTTTTCTAATGATTTTATTAAATATGATTACTAATTAATAATATTGCTTTTGTTTCCATCATTTGTTTCACTAATTTGGTTGATTTTATCCTTTAAATATATTAATATACTAATTAGTATTGCTAAAATATACTGTTATATGAAATTTCAGCTTTTTATAAGCATTTCTTTTCTTGATGTCCTCCCAAAAATATTTCAGACAGTTCAATAAGTTTTCAGTAGTCATCTCTCACAATAGACTCTTTTACTTATTTAGAGTAAAACCCATTAAGTTTATCAATTTCAGAGTTTACGGCGTATTCACCAGACTCCCTGTGAAAATATACATTTTTATCAAAGTATACATATAAATAAAACTATATTTTAACATTTCGTCACCTGAGAATTATAGTGTTCTATCTGCATTTTCTTTTTTTTATTCAGGTTAGTCTTGTTTTAAGTATTAAAGACTAATATTGTTCTATCTATATATAATTGGGGTAGAAATTGTATAGTTTAAGCCTTAAACTTTACAATTTCTACCCCAATTATATATAGATAGATCAATATCATCTTTAAGACTTAAAACAAGACTAACCTGAATAAAAAAAAGAAAATGTAGATAGAACACTATAATTCTCAGGTGACGATTTGTCAATAATTTATAATATAAGGGTCACATAATAACAAACACAAAATGACTTACGATCGAAGACCTCGCGACCAACTGTGTTACAAAATACCCGCGCGCCGGAGTGTTCAGATGCAAGTCGGCACGGGTTCCCGTTTATAGAATGAGCTGAAATTTTTACTGGGAGTATATAAACACGTAATAAATATAATTAGAGGGTATGCGTAAAAAAAATAAAAATAAGGGACACCCTAATGTAGAGGTATCTTTTTTATTTGAAGATCTACGTAAATCTTTAAATAAAAATGATACCATGTACAGTTACGGAAAGAAGTAATGTCCATTTGAATGCTCCATTGTAATTGTTCGGAGGCATTCGGGTTTTGGTAATAAAATTAACATATCTATTTTTAAACTCAATAATTCTACCTACCTGCTATTTACCATTCTTTCTAGGCACATTTCATTTGACTTTTAAGCTTTTATGCAATAATTAAATATTTAAGGAATAACATTGATTCTGAAATACTTTAAATATAATATAATATATTATGTTCTATAACTTATTAAATAAACTATATATTATTTAATAAGTTGTTATTAATAAAATAATATAGGTATTTAAATGAAATATAGACATTTAATACTAAAATAATTATAAACTTTTGCATAATTTTGCAAATAAAATTGTTAATAACCCTCTTTAATGTATTTACCTTTTTATGTGATTTTTTGTTATCTGGGCAATATAAATTAAAATATTTATTCTTACTATGTAAATTAAACACATTAAAATTTTAAACTAAAATGCATTTTGTGCACTATTAATACGTTTTTCTACTTCTATTGCATATTATTGATATTTTTTGTTTTTTTTTGTGTAAATAATGGTAACCAATATAACCGCCCGGTCTATCAAAGTGAATTATATTTACTTTGTAGGTATCAGTGATTGGCTTATTTTAATATTCACTGATATTTGAAACAATCGGGTTTTAAATTAGAAAAAAGTAAGGTTGACAGATGTCAGATTTATTTGTATATACGAGGGGCGACTATAATGATCTTTAAAATAGAAGAAAAGTGAGGTTATAATAAATAAATTTTGTTATCAATGAAAATTTCTTAATTGGAGTAGAACAAACATAGTATTACACTCGAAATAATGCGCATTATTTACTCGGATGAATTACGTCTCTCGCCTGATGGCTCGACATGCAAACCTTATCCTTTTGAATAATAGCCTGCATTATCTCTCGTATAATAATATACTATTATCAACATTTTAGTTTTCATTTCTTGTTTTATGAAATATCTGCCCAATACCAACTTATTTCAATGTATAAAAATCCAATAAAATATGGAAACGGCAAAAATTTATAATTATTATAATAATTGAACTTGGTATTCCCAAAGGGTCTAAGTGTCAAAAATAAAATTGTGTGAAATCAATGAAAATCCATTCATCTTTAAAATACAAAAATAATATGGAAAATATTTTTTTAGTCGTTTTGCATGGCACATAGACTATTTTTAAATGATAATATAATATTTGACCAAATTGGGTCCAAACCACAGACCTACAAACAAGATGGACTGGCCTTTCCTATTCAAAATACACAATGTTTTGTTGCCAAGAACTATTTAGATTAGGGGTAAAGGGGTAAGGGGTATTTATAAACAAGTTCCCACACCAGTGGCGTTCTGTTTTTAGGGATAAATAAAAATATTAAATTGTACATTTTTTATTGTGTTTTGCAATCCTATGTAAAAATTATATTTAATATATATAAATATATAGGTATAACAAAATACTAACCTTGTCAGTTAGTGTTCCAGATGATGTAGAATCTGGCTGTTTAAATCTAAAATTTAAGTGAATTCATTTATTTATTCAGTTTCTACGCTCCTGGCAGGGTTTGTTTTGTAAATAAACTAACCTATGAAAAGAAAGTTTTAAATTCTTGGATACAAGTCTTTTACAAACGTAGCACTGCTTCACCATTTTTATATCACTTACTATTGGTATTTTTCACTATAAAATCAAATAAAAAATATTAAATGTTGTGGATTACAAGTATCTTTTACGTAAAATATAGAAACTTCAAAGTCAAATGTGACAACTGAGGGAAAATATTTATTTTTGTTCCTGGCCACTCTTTTCAATGTAAATAAACCGGTCCATCTTGTTTGTAGGTCTGTGGTCCAAACCCTTTGGGAATGCCATGCTTCAATTATAATTATTAATGTAATTATTTACCATTACTTTTTAAATAAAAAGGCAGCTTTTTTTGCTTATGGTTTTAGATAATATTTTCCTAAAAAAGGGTCCTACTAAATTTTACCACAAATTTTGTTTTGCTGAAAAAGTTTGAAAATCTTGAAAATTTCTATAAATTCAACTTTTACCTTAAATACCTTTTAAAAGAGCCCTACCAAAATACAATTTTAAAGTATTTTAAAAAATCTCATATTATTATAATGGGAAATAAATATTCCCGATGAGGGACCTGTAAATGTAATATTAAGAGCTTGCATTTTAACAGGACCATTTTTTGGTATTTATACTTATAAGTCTAATAATTATATAATATTTTTTATCAAATATTTAATAATTTGTCCTACGTTTAAAATATTAATATGAAATTAAATTAAAATACTTTTTAACATTTTAGTCCGGAAGAACTTCGGCTATAAAATTTATTACCTACTTTTATGATATAATTTATATATTTTCTGTTTATACATCTATAGGTATTGTAATCTTTTCTTATTAAGCCGGATGAGGATTAGCCCTTTCGGCAAGTATTAACTTATACCTATAATTATGCCTAAATACGCGACGTGTGCGCCGATGATAATTTTAATGGAGCCGGAGTATATTATTATAACTTTAAAGAATAAATATTTTATAATTTTTTACACATTAACCTACATATAATAAAAGAGCAATAAATAAATATGAAGAAATATATAATATATATTTTATAGTTTTATAATATTTATATATTTATATAATATATATTTTATAATTTTATAGCTATTTATGTTTATATGTTTTATAGTTTTTATATGTAAGTTATAGTTTTATAGGTATGTTAACTTTTATATTATAATTATATTAAACATTTTTTGATAAATCCTACTATATTTAATTTAAAAATATACCAAATATAAAAATTTTAATTATTATTGACTGCTTTTTCACTTGTACCGTGGTTAACTATGGAATACCATGGTATCCCAAAATTTAACAGCCAATTCTTATGTAAAATTGTCCCCTGAATCCGAAAATACATCAATAATTATGAAAGTGAAGCAGTTTATGAGATATAGTCAATTCCATATTAAATAGAAAATTGACTATATCTCAAAAACTGTTCTACTTTTTTAACTTTTGACGGTATTTTCGGATTCAGGGGATAATTTTACATAAGAATTGGCTATTTAGTTTTGGGATACCATGGTATTCCAT